CACCCATTCAGTTCCGGTCAGGTACAGAGATGCCAAGACAAAGGATGACCTTGGCTTTATCGAAAGAATTTGGTTATGGCTACATATCATCTACCTCCATACAATCCCCTCTCCCGTTTTCCCACAAGAGAAAATGCATAGCAGAATAATAGAAAGTATGGCAGGCAAAGACCCAAAAGAAAAGATGGCTACAGGCCTGAGACACATCCCTAAAAAGAAGCACCACAGGATAGCACTCACCTGAACATAGGGACGACTTCACTGAGAGGCACAAAGTCACGGGTGGGCACCTGATTCAATTGGATGTCATAGACGGAAGGCGCACCAGGGCAAACGTCCATTTCTGGTGGGAAGATAATGGTCTTCTGGACACCTTCTGCTTGGATATGAATGGGAGACAGCTTGTTCCATGACCACATGCGTTTGGACTCCACCAACTGGGCATAAACGGTGGCTCTGTGAGGCACTGCCTCACATCCCTCCTGCTCATTAAAGGATGAATAGGAAAGAAATCAAACACGGTTCATGTGCTTTGGGAGGGGAAAAGAACAATGACGTGCAATAGCACTTAAGATTTATATACCACTTTACAGTCCTCTCTAAGGTTTTACAGAGTCAGCCCATTGCCTCCAACAATCTGGGTCCTCATTTTACCCACCTCAGAAAGATGGAAGGCTGAGTCAACCTTGAGCCAGTGGGGATCGAACTCCTGGAGTGAGCAGTGAGTTAGCCCTGCAGTACTGCATTCTTAAACTACTGTGCCACCACAGCTCTTAAATATAAACATTGGATGGGTGGATGGATGGATGGATAGATAATAAATAGACAGACATAGAGACAGTCCTCTCTAAGTGATTTACAGAGTCAGCCTATCACCCCAACAATCTGGGTCCTCATTTTACCCACCTTGGGAAGGATGAAAGGCTGAGTCAACCTCGAGCTTGGTGAGATTTGAACTGCCAAATTGCAGACAGCTGGCAGTCAGCAGAAGTAGCCTGCAGTCCTGCATTCTAACCACTGGGCCACCATGGTTCTATCTTTAAAATAACAGCTAGGCAAAAAAACGTACTTTCAGGGATTTGAGAATCAGGTCTAGGACAACTCGCTGTGGCTACCTCGCCACGACCATCTCACTGCGGCCAACTCGTCCCAACCATCCTGCCATGGCCAACCCAACACAGACATTTTCCCGTGGCCATCTTGCCACTGCCAACTCACCACAGGACAATCCATGCGGAAATAACTGAGCATGACAAATGTTATCCACCACTGTTTTTTCAACATTACCTCCATTTTTGCAAATGGAAATAATAGTAATAGCACTTAAGACTTCATGGTGCTTTTATAGCCCTCTCTTAAGCAGTTTACCGAGTCAGCCTATTTGCCCCCAACAATCTGGGTCCTCATTTTACTCACCACGGAAGTACAGGACGCTGAGTCAACCATGAGCTGGTCAGGATTGAATTGCTGGTTGTGGGCAGAGATAGCCTGACATACTGCATTCTAACCACTGGGAAAGAAGGAAGGAAGGAGGGAG